CTCACCTGGATTATCTCTTGAGAGTGGGGCTCCCTTCAGGTCCCTCTGCCTCCCCTCAGGCTGTTTTACACACTGCAGCCAGAGGGATCCCATCCCGGAGAAAAAGCCAAATTCATATGGTTCTCTACAGGGCCATTGATGAGGGGCCCCTACCCACCCCTCCCTTTTCTACTCTGCTTCTTGGCCCTTGCTGCTCCCTTTCCTAGGAGCACCCCTCCCTCTTTTTCCCCCAAGGCTGGCTCCTGCTCATCCTTGAAGTCTCAGCTCAAATGTCACCACCTCCAAGAGGCCTCCCTAACTCAACAGCTAAACTAGTACCGGCCCCATCACCCCAACACATGAACACCTATTTTTTTTCCCATAGCACATACTGATTTCTAAAATTTTATCATTTTGTTCCATACAGAAAATTATGTGTTCCCATGCCTAATTCGGCTCCTCCAGGAGCATGACCCCCTTCCCCTCCCCTGTTCAGAAGCCCTCTCTCAACCTATGTAACACCCCTCGCCCCTCAGTCCACAGGAAACGTGTGGATGACACATGAAGAGATGGAGTCCCTTACCGCGACGACCAAGCCTGTGAGTGCCCCCTGCCGGTGGCCTTGGGTGGCACTAAATTTCCTTCGGGAGGAGCGGCGGAGTTGGGGGGCAGATGAATCTGTAGCTGTCTGTCCGTCTGTTCGTCCCTCCCGCCCTCCTCCGCCTGCCCCTTAACCCACCCCTTCTCTCCCCTCTTCCCACTAACTGGTCAGGAGACCAAGGAGATCAGCTGGGAGCAGGTAGGGGGCGCGGGGCGGGCAGTGGGCGCATGAACAGGCTGTGCACGCTGCATGGACGCCCCTCCTTCTCCGAGCCCCGCCCCTCCCCTCGCCGGAGCATTCCATCCTCACCGCGGGAGGGGGGCGCTGCGCGGAGCTCTGCTCTTGTCTGTGGCTTGGTGGGGGTCGGCGTAGAAGCCCGGCTATTCCACTGTTAGTGGTGCACGGATCATCCCATTATGCTGGGTTGCGGGGGCTCCAGGGGCAGTTTCATTGCTCTAACTAGAGGGAGGTGCTGAGCAGCTCTTTTACCTAGAAAAGAGGGAAGTGGGATTGTTCCACTGTACTGGGGTGAAAAGGGAAAGCATTTGGGGCGGGGGGCGGCAGGTCAGGGTGAGAAGTTGGGGAGAAGGAGCTACATTTTGTTCTCAAGAGGGGAGCGGGATGACCTCACCTGAGACAGAGGAGCTATGCTGGGTCTTTGTTTCCCAGCAAGGGGGAAGGTATGGATATTATTTCCTTATGCTAAGAGGAGTGAAGGATTTGGGGTTGATCCAGAATATTGTCCTGGGCCAGATATAGCTAGACTAGTATTTTGGGGACAGTGCAAGAGTGGTGGATAGATCCATTATCATTTGTTGGGGAGAGAGCTACATTGGAAAATCCGTTGTGCTGACTTGGGGGAGTAGTGATGTTGGACTGATCCATTGTTTTGAGTTAGGACAACTTTAGACTAGAGCTTCTTAAACTTTAATGTACAGTTCAGATAATCTGAGAATCTTGTGAGAATGCAAATTTTGATTCAGTAGCCTAGGGTCTGAGATTCTGCAATTCCAGCAAGTTCACAAGTGATGATAATGCTGTGGGTCCAAGGACCACACTTTGAGTAGACAAGGGTCTATGCTGTCATAATGAAGGAAAGGGAGACAATTTTGGATTGTCCATTGTCCTGAGCAGAGATTGGCCATTGTCCTGCTATAGGATGGAGAAAGAACCACCTCGGATCTGGGGGAGGGGGGTTGGACTGTACCCTTGCATACATACATGGGATGGGGTCAGAGGGCCTGACTCCTCCCCCACCTGCCCATGGCCCCAGATCCTGGCATATGGCGACATGAACCATGAATGGGTGGGGAACGACTGGCTGCCCAGCCTGGGGCTGCCCCAGTACCGCAGCTACTTCATGGAGTCGCTGGTGGATGCCCGAATGTTAGATCATCTTAACAAGAAGGAGCTCCGGGGCCAACTCAAGATGGTGGACAGCTTCCACAGGTGGGGGTCGCCTGGCCCATGGGGGCAGTCCAAGGGGGTAAGCCCCACTTCTAGAGAGTCTTTGGCAAATAGGACCAGTGATGGGGAATTCCTTGGACTATCTTTGGTCCTCTAGCCCTGATGGTCAGGCAATCAAGACTCCTGTGCCCCTTCCACCCATAAGAAGGCCTACTAGGAAAAGCCCAAGTCCTGAGACAGCTTAGCTAGTTGACCCCATACCCCTTACAGGTGGGCTAATAGGAACTGCTTTTTGAAACTATGGCAACTCCTGGGAAGGTCAGCAGTCAGTAGAACAGATCCAATGGAGCAATTCCCCAACCTCTACCAGAAGACCACAGACAATGGGGAGAGCCCAATAGGAGTAGCAGTCATTGGGGTATGAGGGCTCATCTGTAACTCCACTATCTCTGCTACTCAGGGTGAGTCTGCATTACGGGATCATGTGCCTGAAACGACTCAACTATGACCGGAAGGACTTGGAGCGGAGGCGGGAAGAGAGTCAGACCCAGATCCGAGGTGAGTAGAAAAGGGTAAACGTCCAGCTGGGAGCCAAGTTGGAGGGGTTTGGAGCAGTGCTGCAGGAGGCATAAATAGGGGAGGGAAGGGAGGCCAGGGAAGAGAGGGGGTGGAGCCAGCATAGGGGCGTGGCCAGGAAGAGGAAGTGGGGATGGAGATATGGGATAAATTGGAAGGGCCTGGCCCCAGGAGGGGAGCAGCTGAGGGTCCCTTCTGTCCCCAGACGTGATGGTGTGGTCCAATGAGCGGGTCATGGGTTGGGTGTCCGGGCTGGGACTGAAGGAATTCGCCACGAACCTCACGGAGAGCGGGGTGCACGGGGCGCTGCTCGCCCTGGACGAGACCTTCGACTACTCTGACCTGGCCTTGCTCCTGCAGATCCCCACACAGAATGCACAGGTGAGCTGCCGCTAGGCCCTGGGCATACTGGGCATCCCCACCTCACAGATTGCACGCTGAAACCCCTCTCCCACCTCTCCTCCCCAGGCCCGGCAGCTCTTGGAGAAGGAATTCAGCAACCTCATCTCCTTGGGCACAGACAGGCGGCTGGATGAGGTGGGCGCAGCAGCAGCACAGGAGACTCCACTCCCAGCTGCACCTCTAGGCTGGGAGCTGAAGGGGTGGGGCTTGACTTTGCCAGCGAGTCGTGGTTGGAGGAGGTGCCAGAAAAGGGGCGGGGTTAAAGGAGGGAAGGACCCGGAGAGGGGTGGGGTCAAATGAAGGGGCGGAGTCGGAACGCGGCCCTAGTCCCTCACCGGCTGCCGGGCCCCTATACCTAGGACAGTGCCAAGTCCTTCAGCCGCTCCCCATCCTGGCGGAAGATGTTCCGAGAGAAGGACCTCCGAGGCGTAACGCCTGACTCAGCTGAGATGTTGCCCCCCAACTTTCGTTCGGCCGCAGCAGGGGCCCTGGGCTCGCCGGGGCTCCCTCTCCGCAAGCTGCAGCCGGAAGGTGGGCGGATCCCAAACGCGACAGCCTCTCCTCCCCTCCCTTTCCTCGGGGTAGGAACCTCCCTCTTCAGGTTCTGAAATGGCCTAGGCCTTTCTCCCCCAACCATGACAAATGGACCGCTCCTATAAGCCAACCTCCTCAACCCCACCACACCCCCTTTCCAGGGTGGGAAATGAACTCGTCCAGTGTCACCTGGGATACTTTGAAGGAATCCAAGGCTATGGGAAAGGGGGAGAAACCGGCTTGGAGCTAGGCGGTCGTTGTCATCTCGGAAGGGGAAATCCAAGGGAGGACGCTTGGGGTTGAGGATCGGAGAAATACTGAGGGAGGAAGTGGGCGTGTGTGTGTGTGTGTGTGTGTGTGTGTGTGTGTGCGCGCGCGCGCGCTTTCCAGGCTGAACCGCTGCTCACTCTCCCTCCAGGCCAGACTTCTGGGAGTTCCCGGGCAGACGGCGTTTCTGTCCGGACCTATTCCTGCTAGTGTACGCCTCCAGGTGAGGACTGTACTGGGCGCTCTTGGGGTTCTGGGCGGCACAATGGATCTTCACAGCTGCACGCACTGCCTGGCGTCAATGCAGGTGACCTTACTCGGACGGAAGAACCTTTCAGAGGCTGGGCTGTTTCCCCTCCTGCCCAGAGTATGGTCTCGCCGGGGAGAGCTTGCTGGGGAGCTCACGCCACGGACTGGACCATCTGTACAGACAAGCGGGGAATGCCGGTCCCTGCCTCACAAATGGACTGGGCCTGGACCAAACCACATGCACTGGACTGAGAGGGGGGAAGAAGAAGGCAGGAAGAAATCCCGCCCCAAACTTCCACCTCTCTTTCCAATACTTTGTAATTTATTGATCAGTTTCCGATGGGAGATGGGTGCCCTTTCCCCGCGGGAAGGGGGCGGGGCTTCCCTCCCGGGCCGCATGCGGGGAGAGGCTGCCCCCTCCCCTTTCTTCCCAGTCGCGGGGCCCAAGTCGTCCTTCTTCGTCCGAAAGGAGGGGAGGGAGGACTCGCTGCTAAAAGCCTCGCCCTTTGTGCCACTCAGCCCTGCCCCGCGGCGTCCGGTCGCCGCTGCCTGGGGTCAGCCGCGGGCGGGGCTCCCTCTCTCTCCCCAGTGTCTCGTGTCCCCGAGGCCCCTCCGCCCCCCGTGCTGTGGCCGTGTCCGTGCCCCGGGGGGGGGTAGGGGGTGCAGAACTGCGCTCCCCGTTCCGCTCCAGCTCCGGGGTTTGCATGGGAGAATCCTCTTTCCACGATGCCCCTGGGCGACGTGGCGTGGGGAGAGGAAAGACGGTGGGGAAGCCCTCGCCCCCGACTCTTGGTCGGCCTCCCTGCCCCAGGCGTCACTCAGTGATCACGGGTAAAGAGAACTGTTTCAAAAAGCTCCCGTGTTGACTGATTTATTTATCAGGACCTAGCAACCAACCACTTCGAGGAGTCCAGGCCCCTTCTCCCTCAGACCCCACCCGCATTCCCCGGTGCCCAGAGGATCCAGACCCCAGGCCTGACAATGAGGTTTCGGGGAGCACGTTTATTCAGAGAAATAAATATGGCCCGTGGAAAGGGGTTGGAGGGCCAGGGAGATGTATCTGCGCCGCAGCCGTGTGTCTGGGTTAGGGTTTCGGAGTTTCCAGCATGTCTGCCAGGGCTCTGGAGAGAAGGACGCAGAGGTTGGACAGCCGAAGTGTCCAAAGCTCACACCAGGGCGCTTAGAGATCGTTAACCTGCTCATTTCACCAAGGGGGGACTAGAGGCTCAGGGCTTTCCAATAATTCATAGCGGGACAGCACCTTTCTAAACGGGGTCCTTAAACATCCCCCCTCCACACACTTACTGGTACAGGGACGAGGAGAAATAGTCGACGTAGCTTCCTGTAGGAGAGAAGAGGCTTGAGGGGTACACCACGGGTGAAACTGGGGGCCACTTTTCACTCAGTCCTGGACCAGGACTAGCTCCGCCCCCTTTTCTGGATTCCTTCCCCCAAACTAATTCCTTCTACAGCGACTCCTCCCTTCCTCCTGGCTCTAAGTGTTCTAAGTGTTCCCATTCTCCAATAGCCCCACGCCCCGCCGCGTCCTTCGAATTCCACTTGCTTTGGCCCCCAACCTCTTGGTTCTAGGCTAACCCCTCAATCCGAACCTCTTAGGTTTTGGCACCTATCCCCAACCTTCCCTCTGCCCGGCCCCGCCCCTCCGTGCTCCTCCCGCTCGTCACAGAGTCCCAGCCTTGGCCACGCCTCCGCACATGGCCACGCCCACAACCTTCCAGCCTGCTCCTCAGGTTGGCTCCACCCACCAGGCCCCGCCCCTTCATCAGGTTTCTTCTGGGCCCCACCCATGCTCACCCGGAGTGCAGACAGTTTCGCAGACCAGCGGGCAGAGGTAGCAGAACTGGCAGTGCTGGGGGCGGGGGTGGGGAGAGAGAATGAGCGGTACGAGGTGGTCAGGGGCGGTGTTAGGATGGGGCGTGGGCCGTACTTGGGCAGGAGGCTAGCTAGGCGGAGGTTAAGGTCAGAGGCAGGATCGGGTTTGGAGTCAAGGCTGCATCAGGGGTAAGGGGTTAGGTCAGTTTGAGGGCAGAAGATTTGGGGCTGGGGGTGCTCAGATGGTCCCGGGCTGTCGGGAAACCTGGTGGATCCTTGAGTCTGGGAGAAGTCTCACCTGGCACTGGTCGCAGTGCTCTCCCATGTTCTCCTCGTCACAGTGACAGTTCTCACATTCAGTGCATCGCTGGGGACCAGAGGAGCCTGGTTAGGCAGGGAGGGACGTTTGGGAGCCACCCGCCAGTCCTCCACCCTGCCCACTGGACATATCCCCAACTTCTCAGCCTCATTACTTCTGACACTGAGCTCAGTATCTTCCTCCAACCTGCTTAACCTGCTTCCCACCCCCTCATTTCCCTATTGCAAGGCGCCCCGACGTCCCCTTGTCTCTGTGGGCTGGACCTTTGGGTACTCTCTTCACCCCCTTTCTTCCTATTCTCCCCATAGCCTGTCAGTCTCCAGTCCTGTCCCACCTCCCTCGGCTCTGCCTTGAACCTTCCTCCCTGTCCCCACATCTGCAAGTGCAGCTCAGGCCTCACCCTCTCTTTCCTGGACCACTATCCCAGGCTCCTCCCCAGCCTCCTGGCCTCCAGTCTGTCCCCGACTTGGCCCCAAAAGTGTCTTTGTTTACTCGGGCCCGTTGCTCAGGGCCCTCCCAAGGCACACCAGAGCCCAGGAACAAACTCTAGGAACAGCTTGGTGGGTGGAGCTGGGTTGCGGACATACATTGCAGAAGGAGCAGTAGCCACACAGGGACCCTGGCTGGTAGTTCCCATACTCCTGGGCATCCTGCTGATCTGTGGGGACAAGAGGGCAGCAGTGACCCAGGTTGACTCCGCTCCTCCCCACCCCCATCATCCAGTCAGATCACTTACCCATGTCCTCACCACTCTCCTCTTCACTGGAGGCACCTCCAGACACCTCCCTCCTGGCCAGTGGATTGGGGATGATGGTGAAGGGGAGCTCATCCTCTTCCAGCCCCTCCTCCTCATCTTCTTCCTCCTGGTGGTCTTGGCTCAGTGGGACCCAAACCTCAGGCCTCTCTTCCCTCCTCTCCTCCTTCTCTTCTTCCTCCTCCTCTTCCTCCTCTTCTTCCTCCTCCTCCTGGCTCAGGCTGAGGCCATGACCTTCCTCCTTGTCTTCCTCATCCTCCTGGTCCAGGCTGCCATGGTGGGTACCTTCTCCTCCCTCCTCTGAACCTTCATCATCATCTTCATGGGAGCTGTGATCCTCTTCCTTCTCTTCCTCTTCCTCCTCAGAATCACTCTCCCTTAAATGGCTTCTATCCTTTACCCCCATGTATTCTGGGGACTGGTGGTTAGTCTCCTCTTTGATGGACCCTCTGTGGCCAGTCCCTTTATCTCTGTGGCTTTGCTGCCTGTGGCTGGGAGCCTGGTGGCCAAGCTTGGCAGAGGTGTCCTCATCTTCCTCCTTGGGGACTCCGCGGTGGTGATGGCCATGGACTGCTCTTTCATGTTCCTCTGGGAAGTCTTCCTCCTTAGTGCTCTTGTGGCCTTGGGGCTGGTGGCTTGCAACATGGTGGCTGAACTTGACTGTGATCTCCTCCTCGACATCTCCAAGGCCATGGTGGGTATGTCTGGGAACCTGGTGCCAGTGTTCAGTGGACACATCCTCATCCTCATCTTCCTTGTCTCTGTGGCCTTGATGTCTGTGGCTAGGGATATGATGGTGGTGTTCATCTGAGACATCTTCATTGTCTTCCTTCCCATGGCCTTGACTCCTGTGGGTCTGGTGTATGTACTCAGTGGAGACATCATCATCATCTTCTTCTTCTTCATGGCCTCGGTGTCTGTGGCTGGGGCCATGATGGTGGTGTTCATCTGAGACATCTTCATCCTTTTCCTTCCCGTGGTCTTGGTGTCTGTGGACCTGGTGTCCATACTCAGTGGAGACATCCTCCTCTTCCTCTTCTTCATCCTCCTCTTCTCCATGGCCTCGGTGTACATGCCTGACGATATGATGGTGATGCTCACTGGACACAACTTCGTCTTCGTCCTCATCTTGCCGGCCATGGCTCCTGTGGCTGGGGAAGTGATGCCCGTGCTCAGCTGAATCATCCGCCTCTTCATTCCCATGGCTTCTGTGCCCACGGGCCTGCTGAGCATGCTCTGTGTGTTCCTCCTCATCAGAGGTGTTCTCATCTCCCACCTTGTGGCCTTGGTACCTATGGTCTTGGGATTCTCTGGAGACATCTTCATCCTCTTCTCTGTGGTCTCCGTGGCCCCAGAAATGATGCCCACTCTCCGTGGAAACATCCTTGTTCTCATCTCCGTGGCCTCTATGGCTGTGCGTGGGGCGGCCAAACTTGCCCGATGCGTCCTCTGAGGGCTCCGAAGCTCCTGCATTGTCGTTCCAGTTGCTGGGCCCCAGCCCAGCCCCTCTCAGCTGCTGGGTCACGGCAGTGGGGAGAAGCAGGCTGGCCACCGCAGCCCAGAGGAGAAAAGTGTGCAGCCATGGCCCACAGTGGCCCATGGGGACAGACAGGCAGCAGAGCTTCTCCCAGGGCTGGCTCCCACTGTGGCTATGGCTATGTGGATGAACGTTGGGCTCCTTCTGTTTCTTTCTCCCTGTGTTGCTCCTTTGCTGTGTCTCTCTCGGCCTCTGTCCCCTGGCCCTCACAGCCAGGCCCTCTGAGGCAGTCTCCAGAGCCCCTTACCCTCCTCTCCGGCCCTCCCTCCCACTTCCCAGCCAATAGGGTCTCTCCCCTCCCCTCTCTGTGGCTAAATTTACTCTCAGCCCCGAGTTATTCTGGGTCAGTCCCCACCTGCCCCTCCCCTCCTGCTCCTCCCCCTCCCAGCTGGGGAGGGGGTGGATGAAGGGGTCTCTCCTTGGCCAGGAGAGGGGAGCCAAGGGATTTGACTTTGGATTGCCAACAAGTTCATGTTTGGCAGCTGCAAAGACAATGGCTAGATTTTTAGTAGGCCAATTTGGGGGGAGCCTGGGCCATGGGGGAGGGTAGCAGGAGGGATGTATCTGAGGGGAGAAACCCCTGCCCAGGAAGGACTGGGGGTTAGATTATGGGGAGTTTCTGGCCAGAATGGGCTACTTTGCTGAGAAGGTGGATGCCAATATGGAAGCCCTGGAATGGCGTGAAAGGAATTTTGCCCCAGCACACGTACCCATGACCTCCTGTCCCTGGAACTCAGATCTGGGGGCAGGGGATGGCACCAGGCCAGGGCTATAAATACAGCGAGGGGGGGCAAGGGGCTCAGGTTACCCAGGAGGCCGCAGCTGTCCCTGTCAGAGAGTCGGCAGGAGACATGTGGCCCTGCCGGTCCGCATAGCAGTACCTCCCACTCCTCATCCTGTCACTGTCGCCCTCGCTCTTTGGGTTCCCATCCTTCTTTATGGGTCTCCCTCTCTCTGTCATTGTTTCTTCACCAGCTCTCTCTCAGGGTCCCTGTTGCCCCCCTCCTGAGGATTCTGTCCCCTTCTCCCTCTCACTCTGAGTGTCTGCCACCCATCTAAATCTTTCTCTCTCCCTCTTTGGGTCAATGTAGCGCCCCCCCAATCTCTGTTCCCCCTTTCTGATTCTCTGCCCCCGCCTAAGTCTTAGTGTTTCCCGGCCCCCATCCCCCGACCTGGGTCAGTGTGCCCTCTCTCTCATCGCTGGCATTTCCTCTCTGCGTCTCTGTCCCCCTCTCCCTGGGTTCCTGTCCCCCTCTCCCTGGGTCCCTGCCCGCCTCTCTCTGGATCCTGTCCGACCCTTTGCCCCGCCTCCCGCTCTACGCTTCTCCGAGATTCCCCGCCCCCCAGACCTGGCCCCGCCCAAGGCTGGGCTGGGAAGTGGCGGATCCGGTTTGTTCAGGGCGCATCTAGAACCCGGGTTGGTGGATCGAATGCCGGGAGTCGGATAGGTTTCGGTGGCTGCGGCAGCATGGTGGGTGCAGAGAAGGAGCAGGTACAGCGGCCGGACCCAGGCCTGAGGGAACAGGGAGCTAGGGCCTGGCCTCCTGGTTTCCAGAGAGGAGGGTGCTTGAGACCCAGATTCTTGGGTCAGACAAAGGAAGGGGTTGCTGGGGGCCCGGACTCCAGGGTCCTTGGGGACGGATTGGTGAGGGAGTTGGGGGGGTCGAGTCTCCTGAGTCCGGGAGAGGAGGGCACTGGGGTCCCGGACTCCTGGGTCTCCGGCTCGGGCGCGGGTGGGTCACTCCGTGACCCATAGGACCTAACTGGATCCACCCCACCACTCCTTGTTCCTGTCTCCAGAGCTGGATCCCCAAGATCTTCAAGAAGAAGACGTGCACGACTTTCATCGTTGACCCCACAGATGCGGGGTGAGGAGTTCGCCCCGGGGACAGACCCCAGAGTGTCCCGGGTCCGCTGACCCCGCCCACCGCAGACCCCGCCTTTCGGTTCCTTCCCTTCCCCAGTCAGAGCCGTTACTCCCAAGGGCGTTCCCTGGTGGCTCTCTACCTCGGGGAGGGCCTGGGTCAGTCTGCAAACACTTCCAATTTCCCATCCTCCCGCTCAGGTTCAGTGTTCAAGACCCAGGGCTGGGTTCTGGTTTTTTCCTTCCCCGTGTCCCTTCTGTGTGTCTCTGCCTCCTGGTGTCACTTTCTCTGTCTTTCTTTCTTGGCTGTCTCTGTTTCATCCATTCACTTGTTCGTTCATTCCTCCAAGAAATTCTCACTCAGCACTTCCAAGGGGGCATTATTTTCAAGAGCACAGGCCCTGCCAGGGTTCAGATTTCAGCTGGGACACGTGCTGTGTGGCTTCGGGCAAATCATTTCACTTCTCTGGGCCTCATCTATCATCTGGGCATAAAAACAGGCTCTAGGGCTTCCCTGGTGGCGCAGTGGTTGAGAGTCTGCCTGCCGATGCAGGGGACACGGGTTTGTGCCCCTGTCTGGGAAGATCCCACATGCCGCGGAGCGGCTAGGCCCGTGAGCCATGGCCGCTGAGCCTGCGCGTCTGGAGCCTGTGCTCCGCAACGGGAGAGGCCACAACAGTGAGAGGCCCGCGTACTGCAAAAAGAAAAACAAAAAAAAAACAAAAAAAAACAGGCTCCATTTCCTGCGGCTTTGTAAGAATTAAACAAGTTACTGCTTATGATATTTCTGAAACAGTGCCCAGCACATAGTAGTCACTGGAAAATATGTCCATAGGAACCACCGGAAGGTAGCAATTACTAGCATGTGTAGGGCCTGTGCTTGTGCTGGGTGGCTGAGAGGTGGGGAGTGGCCACCATTAGGAGTTCCTGGCCTTCAGTGATGGTCTCTCAAGTGGGTTCTGGCTTTCTAGTGTCCTCAAGGCAATCTTTGGGGTATGGGAAATGTCAACGTTCCTAATTTAGTGTGTGTTTTATTATGACTATATTAGTGCAGGATGGCTTGAATTATGTATAAATAAACATATATATTATTTGGGGGTGAGTGCTCAAAAACTTTTACTGATGGAAAGGGCGGTCAAGGAATTTTAGGAACCTCTGGTCTGGTGGGAGGAAGATGATTATAAGGCAAGGAGATGGGAGCTGCAAAGGACAAGCCACTGGGCCCAGTGGGAGCCAAGAGGAGGCATCTGGTTAAGTCCGAGGAGGGGACACAGGGTGTCACCAATGGCTTCTGTAGGAGGAGGGGCTAATGAGGTGACATTGGAAGGTGATAAAGTTGGAGTTTGACAGTTGAAGGTGGGTTGGATTCCAGGAGTGGGAACAAGTATAAATTGCCCCCTATTGACTATGTGGCTTGCAAATGGGGCAGAGTTCAAGGTGCAGAGAGCATCTGAAAGAGGATATCAAGAAGGAGGGCAGGGCCAGTAGTCACACAGCCTCAAATGTCACCCCGAGGGGTTGGGACCGAGTCTTGGTGTTCCAGGGAGCCATGGGAGGGGCAGAGTCAGCTCTGGGTGTGGATAGATGCCCTGAGGGCCACATGAGGATGAACAGGAGTTCAGGAAGCTGGGGAAGAGTCTGGGCAAGGGACAGGTGGGAGGAGAACAGGCCTGAGGCAGGCCAGGGCTGAGGGGACACAGAGAGGTGGGGACAGGGCAAAGATTCAGGGGCAGGAACTTGGGGACCGATGGATTTGCAGAGTGAGAGGGGAGAGGGGAGTATGGGCCCAGACATCTGGTCTGGGGCCTGGGAAACAGTGAGCTTGTCCCCGAGATGGGAACCCAGGTGCATGAGTAGGTTTGGGAAATGTTGCCCAGCTCAGAGTGGGATTTCGTGTGTGGGAGGGGCCTGGGGGAGCCAGGGGCATTGCAAACCTGGTTCAGGGACTCAAGAAAGGTCTGTGACTTCCATCCAAGATTTGAGAAGTCCTAGCTGTAGGTGGTAATGGAAACTGAAGTGGAAGTAGGATGGGGGGAAGAAAGTGTAAAATCAGAGGAGGTTGCAAACTGGCAATTCTATGGCCGATGTTTTCTTTTTTTTCTTCCACGGAAGAAAGGATTGCTAAAAACTTGTCTCTGAATGCTTCAAGACAGACATGCTGCCTCAAGTCAGCACAGCCTCCGGCACATCCACTTATAATTTTCCACCTGATGCTTCTTTCTCTTACGTAATTTCCTGCCTGGCCCTTGGGGCCATTGAGTTTGAGACCCATGTAGGGAAGGCATGTGGTCCTGGCTCTGGGGAACACCTACACTCAAGGGAGGCACAGAAGAAGAGAAAGCCACAGATGAGGCAGAAACAGAGCAGCCAGGGGAACGGGTGTGCTCTGCCAGGGAAAAGCTTTTCTAGAGTCAGCCTTTTAGATATGACCAGTGCTACTTTGTCGGAGTCAGATGAGACCTGAATAGGAGCCATTGTACTCGGGGATGTGCAGGTAATTGCTGATTTTATCGGGAACAATTTCGTTTTCAGTGGCCACACAGAGAAAGGGGGGTAGGAGATGAGACGGACAGAGGGGGAGTCTGCCAGTGCTGTCTACCAGAAGTTTCTGCAACGGTGAAAATGTTCTATATCCACATCCAGTATGGCAGGCACTGGCCACGTGTGGCTCCTGATCACTTGAAATGTGGCCAGAGCAACTGAGGAACTGAATTTTTAGTTGTATCTAATTTTAATTTATTTGACTATAAGGAGCACGGTGTGGCTAGAGGCTACTGTACTGGACAGTTCAGGTTCTGGAACATTCCATGAAGAAATTTTGCCAGGAAGGGCTCGTGGGAAGTAGATGGACAGGAATGAGGGGGGGGTCCAGGGACGGGGTTGAGATAGGTGAAAGGATCAAGTGGGTAAACTGAGGCATGCCAGGACCCTGGAGGTAGACTCAGGAAGAGGGAGGGATGTATCCTATAGTTCTCACTGTGCCAGGAGCTGGTGCATTCTGTTTGGATTTGTTGGCCATTCTTTTAGTGACTTCACAATTCTTGTCAAATCCATGGACCACCTGTGCTATTCTTTCCGTAAAATTAGTCCTTAAATCATGGCTCACTCTGTTTACATAAATGCAGGTCTCCTCCGATATTTGAATCCCTTCTGGAATCAGGGACCAAAGAGATTTAGATACATTTTCAAATAAATCCCTCATCTCCCAAACCTGTGTGGCTTGCTGTTTTTAAACTCAGGTGCCAATCCCATTAGGTAACAAGGGATACTTGCGTATTTATTTAGGGGGAAAGAAGTTTCATATGTGATCACCCTAAATGCAAAATCTGTTTCATTTGCCACAAAGAGAAAGAAACAAGCCATAAAAGACAATCACAATGAAAACCAGGTGAAAAGTATTTACCGTCTAAGTGGATGCTGTTGCCAGCCCAGTTTTCTGAGCCTGAGGCCAGCTTTTCTCTGTTAAAAAGAAAAAAAGAGTTAGGCATTAAAAACATTCTAGCACCCAGCTGATCCTCTCTCCTTGACAGTAATTAGGAGAACTCAAAAGGAATGACTTTCTTACTGTGTTGTTCAAGGTTATTTAAAGCTCAGTGTGGAGTTCACGGAGACCGGATCTGGTATGCGGCCCCCATTTTAGGAAATGTTGTGTTATTTCATTGGCCCCTCACAGTTCTATGACGTAGGCTGGGCTATCATTGCCTTTCCATTTGAGGTGGAAATTTAGGCTCAGAGAGATGAAACTACTTGCTCAAAGTCACACAGCTGCCTTGGCCTCTAGTGCTCTGTGATCACTCTCTTGATTTTCCTTTTCGTGTGAATACCATCTGTTTGAACTGGGGGCAGCAAGGACATCCCCAATGGCCCCCTGCACTTTTCCACGTCAGGCCCTGAAGGCAACAGTGAGTGTGGGGTCTGGTATGCAGACCTCCCTGCTCAGGTGCTCTTGAGCCACTGTGGCTTCCTGCTGGTGGGTAAGGTGACTGTGGTGGTTCTGCCCCAGTCTCTCCCTCAGGCTGGTCAGAACCATGGAGGGCCAGGGCCAGGGTCAGTATGGACTGTGAGCTCCTCTGGAGGGAGATGCAGAAATATGGACATTTCTACAGGATGCTTGGGGTCGGTGCGGACGCCTCTGGGCTTCATCCTCCTCCTTCCCCTCCCCCCTCAGGGGGACCTTGTGCCAGTGTGGGCAACCCCGGTGT